GTTCGGTTACAAGCAGAATAGGCCTGTAAGTGTCCCGATTTTCGATTTAATTGCACAAATTTTGCATAAAAATGACTACACTGAGATAAAACGCGTTGTAATAACGCATTGGGGGAAATAACGCATAGTAAACACGAATATTTTTTATTTGATTATCGTTTTAAAATGTTCGTATTTAAAAACAATACTCTCATACCACGCACACGTGGTGTTGGATCAAACTGAACATTTGAATGCACATTTACATGTCTGGCTGTAGCTGAGTGCACGACGATGCTTGTCACAATTTGCTAATTTCCAGAGCGTCAGGGTTGAAATCCCAATACAGGCAGGGTGACAGGTAACAAGATCAACGGCAATAAGGTCAATTGACTTTATTTCCCACCCCGGTGCGAAATAAAGTCAACAAAGTCAATTCATAGAAAAAAATGTTGTTCTTACAATAAACATTGCCCCGTAAGTGTTGTTTTTTAATAGATGAAAAAGGTTATTGCCAAATCCTCAGTGTTGTGATATTAATCCACACACAATCATGAACTACCACCAATTGATTTTATTAAAAAAATTTAAATTACGAATATGTAAAAACACGATGCGAAAAACTAAACGCCTACGCACAGCTGGAATACGAGAAATATTTGAAGAAAGAGTGTAGTAATAATCCATAACTTGCAAAACATGTTTCGTTTCCACAAAAATAAAGCGAACACTATTAAATTGAAGAAACAGTCCATGTCCAAAAACCCCGGAGAAACACTGAAAGAATTCTGTGTTTTAAATTAGCATATTTTGAACGAATTCGGAACGTCTAAGGTGGAAAAGAAACCAACCTGTCTATAAGGAAACAATTATAGAAAAAGAATTTTCTTACACTGTATTCATGTCTCCGGCAGCAATTTGTGACGACATCATTAGTAGAACGACGCCACTATTTATTAGATGACACATTCAACGAGCCAATGTGCTAAAATGCGGGTATAAACAATTATTGATTATTTAATATCGGAACTAAATTCTGCCACTAATGCCACTAAATTTTTATGGGCTGAAAAACTTCATTTTCAAAATTTTTATAAAAAAGTCTGAATAGAAAGTTACAAATTTGTATGCAAATTTACTGCATTTTCCCGAGTTTTGCACAAAGATTAGAATTTTGTTTTTATGTTTTCTGATGTATTTTTATAAGGAACAAAAAGGTACATGCATTCTGAAAAATTCTCTGTGCTTTAGTTGTGATAAATTGTTTTGTTTGGCTGGTGTACGTTGTAATGATCTCTTGATCTCATGTTTTTATGTTTTTGTTTTTGTTTGTCAAAATAAAATTTTACTACATCCTTTCGTACGTAATTTTTGTCGAAACGAAAGGGAAGGGAGCGAGAGGCCTCTCCCTCCCTTAAGTGTCCCGGTTTTGCAGTAGAGATATCTGGCAGCCCTACTATAGATACATATGTTTTTTACTAAAATTCACAGATCACAAAATTTTAAATTATGGTCAATCGGTGAATGTTGTAGTGATTACTTCAGGCACCTCTAATATTAGGTTATATGAAGAGAATGAAGAAAATTAAATACACGGTTTACAAATATTGTGATTTAAATATATTAATATAGTTTATATGTTTATCAAGATATCAGCAAATTAGAATTTGCTATAAAAAGGTCGCGAGCACTATATGTATATCTACCCGCCTAACATAAATAAAACCATCTTTCCCCTCTAAATTACACGCACACCCTCTGCAATTACCACCCAGTTGGACCACCAGACTCACAGTTAATATCATACCTTAACTCCTACTCCTCTAACCGTTACTGAAGCTGCGGGCGAAAACGCAGACGATTTTCCACTTGGTGGAACAAAAGCGCTTTTCGTTTTAAGAGTAGTGGGCACGTGCATAGCTGTACTCACGTATTGAAATACATTTAGTACATATATTTATATCTGCTTGTACATGCTTAGTACTTATGGATGTATGTACCAGGTATGGAATTTAAAAATTTCAAAATGTGCCTAATGGTCTTCAAAAATAGTGCCGAAAAGAAGATGAAAGTGCCATAAAATTAAAATATCTTTTTTTAAGGTCTTCTAAGAGTAATATATTTTTAGAATACACTGAAGTAATATAATAATTATTAATTAACAAAAATTATTACAGTAAATAACTTTCATAAAGGATTCCTTAGACATATATACATAAATTCATGCTAAAATAACACAGCATTCTAATTACCAAGGGGAAATGTACCGAAATATAGCTAATCTGACGTGTTAAATATATATGCGCAATAATGGCGGTGAGATATTTTGACCAGTTTCACCAGTTGATTAATTTTTTCTTTTGATTTTATATAAAAGTCTAATTCATAATTTAACAAACACCATATATCTATGTATTTATGTATGTACATAAATCGGCATTTCAAACTTTGTACAAAAATTAAAAAAAATCAGCAACAAACTTTTAATTCAGAATTTTTAGAGATTCCAAGTTTATGAATTTACGCATGCGATATACAGTGTGTGCGAAAGTTTTTTAAATGGATGAAAGTATATAACACCGTCAGCAAAAAATATGATCAAAATAAACGGGATTTTGCAGAAACTTGCCCTTTTGTGCTGGGCATTCACAATAGGATTCTGCGTTTTGTCAAAAGCGGCCACATACGGTTGCCAGACGGACTGATTTTATCAGTACAGGACTGATTTCTCAACTCTTGTACTGATTTTATTCATTTCTTCAATCAGTACGCTAATGCCCTGATTTTTCAAAATTTTTACTGAATTTTCCATTCAAACAAAATACTTTAGCATTTTCTTAAGGTTTTTACATAACGTTGGAACTTCCTTAAACTGTACTATAAAAAATAGGAAGAAAATGGTTTAATTATAGTTGACATAGATAATGTTTGATATGTCCAAGAAATTAAAGCAACAAAAAGATCAGTCACTTTATGGGCATATCGCCGGGTCGTTACGTACCAGTTGCGATAATCTGATGGAGCTTAAATTATTAAAAAAAAGGCTGAAATTTGTGTCGAGGGTTAGTTATCTCGAAAATAGCTTTCAGTTTAATGACAATAAATTTGAATATTCGAATAGCTTTTGCCTATAACATACAACTCCTTTTTCTCAATTTACTGACACTGTAAAAGAGTTTTGCATACAAGACATAGTTAGATACTCTTTTTAGCGAATTATTAGTATTGCGTAGTTGAAAAAATTATTTAAGCCATGAGGAAATATAGATGAAGTTCTTAAAAAGTGGTAGAGTTTGAAAAAATATTTAATTTTGTTTTTTTTTTCAATACCAAACTAGAGCGAAGCAACTGAGAGGATCTTTAGAATAAAGTTTGTTTCCTGGCGCAAAGAGAGAAATCGGCTTCTAATTAAAATTTTTGAAAGTAAACTTCAAATTAAAAGTAATTTTAAAATGAAATGTAGAATTCTTTGACTATTTAAACACTGAAAATGGGAATGATCTCATTATTGCTATTCAAAAATGTCACAAATATAAAATTATTTATTGGCTCCTGTGTATAATGATGTTTACACTCATGTTAAAATGAATAACACTTTTATTTTTTATGAACTATATTTTATTTATTTACCAAAATATTGTTAAAAACAAGAACTCTGGCGTTTTAAATTTGTGTCTGTTACTTACATTCATAATTTTGCTTTGAATAAAAACGTACTGAGAAGTACTGATTTTTTTAGAATGAAAAAGTCTTACGTACTGATTTCGCGCATAAAAAATCTGGCAACCCTACGGCCACAGAATATATCTCACTGCCCTTATTTTAATTTTTTCATTTTGTAATTTTTTAATATATAATGTAGTATGTGATTATTTGTTATATAGTATATTGGCATATTATGCTAAGTTTCTATAATTTATGATTGTGGCAAAACAGGATGAATTGTGCCGAAAGTACCTCCGAGAATGAAAATGCCAAAAATGGCAGTATTGTGCCTACTTTTCCATCACTGGTATGTACCCATAATTTAATGTAGGTATAAACGTACATTCTTCAGTTTAAGATAGACTTTACATTTAAAGAACTTTTCTATTTAAATTAACAAAATAAAATCTTTATAGGAGCTGTTTTCATTACAAAGGCTTGCTCAAGCAGCAGCGGTATTGTACCGCGCGGTATAACTCCGTAGGCATGTTTGCTCATAGAGCGCTACTGCCATGCATATAACAGAGAGTAAGTAACGTCGAATGGCTAAAAATTTCGGTTGATTTTTTAGTATTTTAAAAAAGCTCGAAATTTGTACGAAAGTTTGTTTAATTTTTTGAATATTGCACAAAGTTGGATGCTTGGATTTACACGGGGTTTGTTAAAGAATGAACTATATTTTTATAAAAAAAATAACCAAAATTAAATAAGAACAAAAATAATACGTTAAAACTTGGGGCAAAGTGACCACTGTATGTATCTGTGTTCGTATGGAATAGTAGCTTATGTCGAAAGGCTGGCTTTAGTATGATGCGGCATTCACTTTATTCTTTAAACAAGAAGGAATTTTTTGATGAGACTTAATAAGAATAGTCTTGCAGTATCGGAACTATTGCACATTTATTTGCCAAAAGTTCTTCAACGGCTCTGCGCCAGTGAGTCATTTGCAATCGTATGCTACGAATGCCGCATTATACTAAAGCCAGCCTTTCGACATAAGCTACTATTCCATACGAACACAGATATGTTTCCACAGAATGCTATATATGTATGTATTCAAGTAATAATAGATATATTTCGTTAGAAAACTTTCTTATATAAGTAGATACAGAACAAACATAAAACCTATATATACATATACATATGTATATATTAGGCCGGGTCGATTTGTGGGGAGGCAAAAAAATTGCCCATTGCTCTGTGAAAATCATATTCTAGGGACAAAATAAGAAACTTTGCCGAAGGAACCATACCTCTAAAACGAATTCTGATGTCCCCCAATTTGGGTAGGGGCAAATTTTGAAAAATCCAACAACCAAATTAAATGGTTTTTTCAACGATAAAAATATATCACTGGATGCATTAATTGGAATATGCACTGACGGTGAGCCAACAAACACTGGCCCACACGGTGGAATTATACGACGATTCGAATTGCTGTTAAAAAGACCATTGCATTGGTTCGTTTGCCTTCTACACTTCAACGAACTTCCGTTTCGGCATTTGTTTGAAGCTTTGGATAAATCAACCAGCACTGGACCAAGATCGGCAACCGGAAAACTGAGCCGTCAAATCGAAACTTGTGAAACTCTTCCGGTAAGTTATTGCTATCACTCATTTATTATAATTGTCAACCATTTTTAATTATTTTATTATTATATATTTTCAGGTGGTGGACGGCTTCCAGAAAATTGAGTTGCAAAATATGCCCCCTGCTCCAGAAAAAATTGAGTTTTCCACCGATTCGAAGTACTTATACGACATGGCCCATGCAATTTCTAGCGGCGTGGTTCCGGTGGATCTGGCTAACATCAAACCAGGGAAAATTGTACATTCTCGGTGGCTCACCAAGGCCGCTAGATTATTGCGATTATATGTGACAACGGAAAATCCAGATGCAAATTTAAGAATTCTGGTTGAATTTATAATTAAATGTTATGTGCCAATGTACTTCAATATCAAGTATTACAGCTCTGTCGTGTACGGCAGTGCATTATTTTTCAAGTTCATTGGTTGGTCACGATTTCTAGAACCTCGTTTACGCAAAATTGTCAATCAAGTAATTAAAGATAATTCATATTATGCGCATTCGGAAAATATCTTGTTATCAATGTTGTTTGATGATAGCAAAGAAAAGCGCGACTGTGCCATCAAGAAAATTCTACGCTATCGAACCGATGTTGACGAGCCAATGGAACTTAGAGTTTATAAAAAACCAGATATAAACTTTAATTGCACAAGTTATACGGAAATGATCAATTTGAATGATATAAATATCGTATTTGAACCACCATTCACGCGAAGCATTCCGTACGATACATTGAAAGAATATATAAATCAAGATGATCACCGTTTAATGATCCAAAAATTCCATCACACATACAAGGAACGGAATGACATGTTCAATTGCTAGCTAGCGTTTCCAAACGGGTTATACCGGAAAATGTAGAGGCTGTTATGGCGACGACATTAGAGAGCCGTGCGAAATTGCCCAGACTTGAAAGTAAAAAAGACTTCAAACAATATTTTTTTTTTAGTTTCTTTTCTATAACTTACTTAAATTAATTTTTTCATTTACATATGTTCTGACTAAATAAATTTCTTAAGAGAAAAAATAGATATTATTATAAATAAATAATAAATATTATTATAAATAAATAAATAAAAATAAAGAAAAAACATAGCCATTTAGCTGATTTTTTCATGTAAAGGCCAAAAATGGTGATTTTTTGAAATGATTGTATGGGGAACCCCCAGGGGTGTTCCAGGGGGTGTGCCACTGGCATGGGTGGATCGGCCGTCCAAAGTTAGTGGGGGTCGTTCATACATTTGGACTCGATTGGAGCACTCTAAATGGGTCAAAGTGGGATTTTTCAAAATTTGCCCCTACCCAAAAGTTCGACCCAAATTGGGGGACATCAGAATTCGTTTTAGAGGTATGGTTCCTTCGGCAAAGTTTCTTATTTTGATCCCTAGAATACGATTTTCACAGAGCAATGAGTGATTTTTAAATCGACCCGCCCTAGTATATATACTATGCACTTATCTTATACTATGTTCTGGCTGACAACGAAAACACTTTGAAAACGAGTTTTGATATTGTGGGCTGAAGGCTGTTCACACCGGCTGTTGGTGTTTTCGTTGACATTTGTTACATCATTTGTTTACAGTTTTTCTACAAAAAAACAAAACCAAAATACTTTTCTTTCATTTCTTCTCATTAAAATTTTTTTTCTTTTATTGTTATTTTAATTTGGCCAGCCAATTAACTATAAATCCGAACTGGCATAATAAAGATGATAAAACATGGCTTCCACTTCCATGAATAATCGAAAAAACTAGTGCATACACCGATTGGAATGAGTGGAACGTGAGTTTTCAAGTAGTTTTCAGCGGATACTGGTTTTCGTTTGACAGATTGTACATGGACGAAAACACAAGTTTTAGGTCGGAAACCAGTTTTAGCGACGAAAACATGTTTTCGATGTCGGTCAGAACATGGTATTAGCTTTAGAATTTAACGTTTTCGCAGCTCCCTCTGTTTATCTTCATCTAACAGCTCATTTACAGCGTATTCACTACTGCTAGTGTTAGCAGAGCGTAATTTGCCGGCGCAATAAAATAGTATAGTTTTAGGCACTGGTATGATAGATTCAATAGTGAACTCTTTGGTAAGATAAAATACCGGGACTTAGTTTGAATGAATCAGCAGTTAACCTATCTATATGAATTTCTGTAGACACTTATCGTACAAAATATATCTCACGGTACTTGAGCTAAATGCTTAAATTAAAAAAGACACCGACTTGCTATTCTCCTAATTCGTTGGTCGCGTTCATAAGACTTAGATAGCTATTGTCTAACCGTTGACTGTTTTTCCTAGAAACGCGCAGTTGAGTAGTTCCGCCATTTTTGCTATCGTTCAACTTTTTCGCTACATGACCGTGACGTTACACGTATCTAGAACTTGCTTTCAACTTTCAATACAAGTTCTTGATACCTGTATGTTGTAGGTACTGCTCCATTCTAGAATTTCCCCGAATAAAATATTTAAGTTTGTGATAGGGTTTTTGTTTTAATTGTGTTTGATTATGAGCTGATAATCGTCTGCGTAAGCACAAAAACTAATTTCTTTGTGGATGCTTATTATTTCACATAATTTATTGTAGGAAATTAGGAAGAGAATGACCGATACCGGAGAACCCTGTGGTATTTCGCTGCTTAGTGGGTGTATGTCTGAGAGTTGTTTTCCGACGCGGACTATAATTTTCCTATTACTCAAAAAAGTAATGACATATTTAATAATTTTTGGACCGATTCGCCATTTTATGAGCTTGTCGATTATTGAGTGAGTGAGATGGAGTCGCTGCATCAATTTAGCTAAGCTGGAGTTGAGGGATATAGGGCGATAGGATTTTGCTAAGGTTTTATTTGAGTTGGGTTTAGGGATAGGTATGACGACTGAAGTTTTGAAATTTTGGGGGATGTATGAAATAAATATATTATTGTAGAAGTTGAGGAGTCTCGTTTTTGTTTGTGGGGACAGGTGTCGAAGCATGGGATAGGAGATGCAGTCAAGTCCTGGTGTGTTTCCTTTGAGGCTGTTTAATGCTATATGAAGTTCAACTAGGCTTATATTTTCTTCGATTATGGCAGCGGATGAATTAGGTGTATTTTTGTAAGAGGCGTTCAGTGTTCGTTGCTTGTTGTTGATGAAGTTTTGTGAAAAGTTTTCGTTTGACGATTCAAGGGACCATAGCGACGCCAATTCCTTGGCGATATCTTTTGGGTGTGTTGCTACTTGGTTGGTGGTGCTGTGCTTTGTTAAGCAGTGAATGCTGTGTAGATTTATGCCCTGTAAATGTTCTTATGTTTGCCAAATTTTCTCTATTGGTGTAGAAGGATTAATCTCTGTTGTGAAAGTGAATGTTGCCGTTTTTTTGGCTACTTTAATTGCTTTTCTTAGTGCCGAGGCTTTTCTAAATTTTATTATGTTGTCTTGGCTGATATTGAGAGTATTTTTACCTTCCTTTTATTAGCTCGGGATGTAACTATGTAATATTGATGCGCCTAAAAGATGCAGCAATTTCTATTCTCAAGTTAAATACCTGATGACAGTACGAAATTATAATAGGCAGGTTTTAGTTTTTTAAACTATAATTTTATTATTTTCTTTGAGTGCTTGTAGTTTTGCGTTCCACCATGGGACGCTGTGCTTTTGCCTGCTCGGGTTGCTCTGTGGGATTGCGGTTTGTGCGCTCTGTAAAATAAACAAAGATTTGCACATTCTTTGTTTACATTTGTAGATACATCTCTGACACGGTCATATTCTAGGATTTTGATTGTGAAAAGTTTCCAATTCGCTTGTTTTATTTTAAATGCTGGTTTGTTTGTGTTTGTAGTGTGAAGTTGTTGGGGATAAATGCTTATTACAGTGGGGAGATGGTCACTCCCTTGTAGTTCTCATTTTGCTGCGATGGCTATATCAGGGCTAGCAAATGACAGCTTTCTTGTAGAGAAGGCAGTAGGGGACCCATCGTTGAGGAGGATGTAATTGGACTGCATTAAAAAATTGGCTAATATTTTACCTTTTGGTTATTTCTAGGGGATCCCCACATAGTGTGCCATGAATTGAAGTCGCCCGTTATTAGACATGATTTGTTGTGTGTATGAAGTACGTTTTGCAGGTTTGTTTGGTTAAAGCTTTGTGTGGGAGTAATGTATGCAGATATTACTGTGAACTTTATTTTTGAGTGTATTTCTATGGCAACGGCATCAAAGTCGTTACCGATAGTGACTTGTTTGTGTTGGATGGAGTTATGGATGAGGAGGGCAGGCCCACCGTAAGAGCTGGAAGCGGTGTTTGTTGAACAGATAGAATAGTTTATTGGTATTGGAAAACGGTCGTGTGGCTTGATGTGGGTTTCTTGAAGGGAGATTACTTTTGGGTTGAATTGCTTTATTAAGATTTGGAGTTCGTTATAATTGTTTGAATAACCTCGAATGTTCCATTGGAAAGTTTTTATTGCCATGACTAATATGGCAAATATATATTTTTAATTTAAAATGTAGAGTTGAAGCTGAGGTAGTCTTTTCCTTCGTGTAGGGAGTCAGCACCTTCTATGGGTTGGGTTGGGCTGGTTATGAATTTTTGGTTCCTGGTGTTGTATACTCTTTTTAATTGTGCTTTTTTCCGCTTTGACATTTTAACCGGAAATATTTTTGTTGTGAGTTTCGTTGATTTGGCAGAAGTTGTAGGTAACTCCTGGGGTTCTAAGTCAGAGTTACTGGGAGCGTCTGAGTAGCTTACTGGTTAACGATGGTACTGGTGTTGATGTTGCAGGTTCATTTGCGATAGTGGTATTTGCTGTAGTTGTGGGTTTCATTAATTTTTTGGTTGTTGGGTTGTGGCTGGTTACGTACAGTAAATGAGTTTTGTTGAGGGCTGTGTTGGTGCCTCATTATAAATGGCTACAGTTGTTTTGTGGTCTACTTTGTTAATCGTTTTTATGGCTCGGAGCTCTTTTTTGTTTTATAAAGACCGGTCAGCTTTTCTCAGTGGCAAAATGGTTGTTTGGTTCTAATTTTCCATATTTAGGCATTTCTCACTGATGTGGCCGTTTAGGTGGTAGATTTGTGCACATTTGGGACAAGTTTTCGCGTTTTTACATATTTTTGACATGTGACCGTATTTAAAGCAGTTGTTGCACCTTAGTGGTAGTGGAATATATGGGCAGATTTTTACCTTTTTATAGCCGATGTTAATTTCGGTTGGTAGGATTGTTGTTGCGAATGTTATTATTATGAGACCTGTTTCGACCAAAAGTTCATCGCTTTTTTTAAGAATTTTTTTCACTTCACTAACGTTCTGATCTAAGTTCTGCCTCTACTTCGTTACTGTAGATTATACCTTTTGAATGGTTCAAGGTTTTGTGTTGGGTTGTTTCTAGGGTAATGTTGTTGTCGAGAGCTACAAACGTAGTTAGTAGATTAGCTTGTTTATTGCTTTTAGTTTTTATGAGAACTTGTCCACTTCTTGTCTTTTTGCACTCCTCAACTTCACCCGCATGTTGCGTCAATGGCTTTTTTTTATAAGAAAAGGTGATACGTTCAAAAGAGTGTCCGGGCTATTTGTTCTTGTCATGAACCTTTGGACCTAAACTACTAAAGTTTTCAGCCTTTGCTTTGTCCTATTTTAAGGACGGCATGTTTGCCCTTGATTTGTCCGGATGGGTGAGGGGAGCAGGGGGGGGGGNGGGGGGGGGGGGGGATTCCTAATGATTATATATGGTTATGATTTTGGTATTTCACTTGTTATGAAAAAGTTGCAAAGCACGTGTTACACGTCAATTAGTGCGAATGTTATACGCAAGTTATACATATGAAATTGGGTATCAAACGATATATTTTTAA